GGGGGGGGGGGGGGGGAGGGGGGAGGTATTTTTTTCATATTTCAAGGCCAAACAGCAAAAATCAAGAATCACTCAAGATCAGTAGTTATTTTTTAAAATTAAAGTGAAGCTGCTGTTTTAGCCTTTAGTTTCCCTTCAAGTTCAGCTAATTAAGAGACACTTTAAAAATAAAAATTCTACTTCTACTTGAGCAGCACACCAAAATATATTTAAAATGCACCACCAACACCTAAGGGCTTTCAATTTTTTTTTCGAAGAATCACTAAGGATTTCAGAAGCTTTGATCTTCAACCTACTCTGAAGCCTAAAAATTCCTCTCCTCAAATATCCGTGTAACATACTGCTGTAAGACAGTTACTGCTTAAGAAGGGCAGGCATGTCAAAAGGCACAACTCAAAAGCCACTATGGAGTTACCTTATTCAAAAAAGTAAAATAAACTAGAGTCCAACACATCATAGGAAAAGGTCAGCTAGACAAAAATCTTGATTTTATATGCATTGCACATTTCTTTTTCCAGTCATAGGCCACACAGTGTAAGAGATGGTATGTGCTAAAATACTAAAGATTATACTTTAAAAAAAAAATTGACACTTGTATTGATTTGCTACTGTTACTTTTCAACATCACACATAGTTGACTACTGCTAAAGGACTCCCACTAAATTTAATCTACCTATAGACTTGTATTAACAATATACTTTTCTCTCTTGTGCACCAAAACCAGATTTTTATGAAATCAGTTGCATTGCATCCCAAATTAATATTACATTTTCCGTCTCAATCTGAAAATACTTCCTGAAGCTAACAGATATTTTTCCTGTTAAGATACAAATTTTACCCTATTGCTAGACCTCAAAAAATAATTTACCCACACCTGATTTTCTCCTAATCAAAATCAACACTGTATTATATAATAACTTTAGTTTCTCTGCAATTTATCACTACAGGAAAATAAGTAACATTACAAGCATTATAAAGCAATACTGCTACTGGAATAAATGTGGGTTAATCAATACTCATCCATACTAACCTAAATCTTTATAGTATATCCTTATGATTAAGATTACTCATGGCTGATTGTCACTGTAAAGGTAACACTTGCAATGACAAACACATCATTAATTTAACGACAGCACTGTGCAAGCTAGACTATGTATAAAAATGGACTGAGGGGCATTAGGCAGTGGAAGTCCCCCTCTTTTTAGAGGAGCTAGCTCTAGAAATGAAGTTATACATACAGCCAAAAATTCTTTAAGACGGTCTTCAATGCTTCCCTTGTGGATGGTAAATAAAGCTGCAGCAATCTGGTTGATAGCTTTTGCCAAGCAATGAATGTTGTTGCAATGCCCTAAACAAAAATGTATATAAGTTACCTCAGCATCATGTTTGAAGATGACAGTAATCTTTGTAAAATATCACCAGAGAGTAAACAGAGTTGTCACAATGAAAGATCAACTTTTAGCAGCATCTTGTGCAAGACCAAAGTACCACTGCTTTGAAATCAGGAATGTACGAATCTCCCTTCTGAATGCTGTAATGGTCACAACAACCTGATGAAGATCCCCGTGGCTTTTAAAAATAAGTAAAAATAAAATATTGGAAGTTTATTTGGTTTCTACATAACTTGAGAGTGTTACCACTGGACTAGGCTAAAAAGACATGCGCAAGCAGGATTTCTTCAAGCTAACTGGCTATTTTTTGCCCCTCTGTGTAAATGAACAAATTATCATTCCCAGAGAGCACTGACTCAAGACAGCTACAGGTACTCAAGAACAAATTGCTAATTGCTGTACATAACATCTTGCCTAAAATCCACCCAGGCTTCAGAGGCCTGGAAGGTGATAAGACACCAGTTTTCAAAGACAGCGGAAGAACTGCTCCTCGGTAAGCCTGGTATGTCTGGGCAAATGAAGTAAAATCTAGAACTTTAAAACAAAATTAATAGACACCTTGGCAAATACATTGGGAAACTGCCAGCATATGAAAAGGAGGAGGTGTTTGAAGGAGTTAAGAAGCATACAAGGATGCAAACACTACTGATTCTTACCAATTCGTTTTGGCCGTTGACAAGCATTGAGCTAATTTTTTCCTTCAGTCATTTAATAACTCCCAAGATGATGCCTGAACAGTAAAGTCAGCTAGACTCCATCTCTCCACATGAGAAAAATTAACTTTTTCTTCCACACTTTATTACTTACGTAAAATGAATTTTATCTATCATTTTATTGCACAATTTACTGTCATAATACCTATCTGCAGCTGTTTAATATCAATAACTAACTTCACATGATACAAAAATTTTGTCACCTCATTTTTCACCCATCTTCTGTGTGAGGTCTATGAATATGATGACTAGTAGGTCCCAGCAAAGATATCTATGGAGCTCCACCATCAGGCTCCCCCTGAGTGGATACTCCTACCCAGCTTCCTATTTTTAAATGAAATATTGCTGCATGAATACACTTGTCTGAAAGAACAACAGATCACTGCTTTCCTTGAACATCAGTCAAGAACATCTGTTCTGCTTAATTCTGCTGACCGAAGTTTATATTTGTTTTTGAGGTGGCTTGATTTTTTTGAAGTGAGTTCATTTTTATGTCTCAAAGACCGTAGAAAAAGCATCAGCAAGGGAATCCAGCTGATGAATTGTTGTCTTCCAACCTGTGACAGGTTTCAAGTATTTAGAAAAGGCTACGTCTCTTGCAGAATAGTGTTCTAGTCTAGCCTCTGGATGACAAATTAGTCCTCTAGTCTGATATTTGATTAGCAGTTCAGATTTTGTACTGGGAACAAAAGTAGAGGTCTGTTAGAGCCTGAGCCTTTATCTGAAGCTAGTGGAAGAACAGGCTTGATCTGGAAGTAGGCAGAGAGAATGCAGACATTGCTAAAGCTGTCCAAGAACTGTCTGTATTTGGGAGGTATGTCCTGCCAGATTAGCAAGCTGAAACTCCTTCAAATCTGTAACTTGTTGATGGATAAATTGAGGATTTGTCCAGGGAATTTACTTCATAAAAAGCAGCATTTATTAACTTCTCATTCTGGAAATAGCATCTATATTAAGTGTCTAAAGCCAGATGTTCTACAGTAAGGGCAAAACACAGGAAAAAGTAATTATGCAAGGAAGGCAGGACTAACAAGGTCTATTCTGTTTGTTCAGTTATTTTCGTAGAATGAACATATTTTATATATTCCTTTTGCCAGACTCTTTTCCTCTCAATAAAAAAGAGCTCACTCAGTAAATTACATAATACAGAGGCCACATCTCATAAAATCAGTAGCAACTCCTAATATGGGCTTGAGTTCTAGATTTAACTTCTCTCCAGTCACAGTTTTGTGAGATCTTATTAACTGTACTCACTTTAAGAACTCACTTTGAATCAGTCTTTGTCTGACTCCATATTGTTACTGAATGTAAATAAAATCACAGAAATTGGAATATTTAAGCTACATAATATAAAACAGGCAGGAGAGAGAATTATCTGTTGTTTCAACCTGCTAAGACCGTGAGGACAGTCCTTGGAAGAGATGGGAGTTTGAGGAAGGCAAACATGCATGAGCTCTAATCTGCTGGAGAACCTCTAGCTAGCCTGACTCACAGTCTTAGAAATAAATTCACAGAGAGGTGAATGTGAAAATATAAACACTGTTAAAAATTTTTAGTATGCCCCTGGCAAGTAGTCCAGGTTTTGAAACTCTACAAGTTTTTGAAAGTCTACAAGGTTTTGAAAGTCTATGAAACTTACATAGGTAAGATGCTTTCAAAGGAGAAACTGGTAGCAGAAAGTGCTTCCAGAAGGTTTCTTTCACAAAACTATAAACAAGTAATACTTACAAGATGTGCTCTTAAACACACATAAGCAAGTTCGTTTGTACTGAGTTAACAGTACCAACATAATTTGCTTGTTAAAGAACATTTTCTACCTGTGCCCCTCACCAATCACATTTGATATTCCCTGCTCTTGCCTATAGTCTGAGATTTTCATTCAGCCATCAGGACTTTGAAAAAGCTTGCAATAAGCCACAGAAACACTATGAATGGAGATAACAGGAAACAACTCCATGGGTTACAGATTGTTCTCCCTGTCCATCAGAAAAAGTTGTTCACTTGAAAATTCATAACTCTTCAAATTAATGTTCAAATTCTACTCATTACATCACAGAGTTATCTGACTTTTTCACAACTGGCAAAAGGTTACACTATCTGTTTCAAATTAAACTAGAGTTAACAAATTCTTAATCTCTCAAAACTGAAGGAAATGTTAATTAACACGATTTAGAACAACAATCTCTGGTCTCTCAAAAAAATGTGATCTGCATACTACAATAAGTGACACAGAAGGCTTTCAGAATTTTTGGTCTTTTCCTAGTACTTGAAATTTTCAGAAGTCAGTTTAGACATTCTTTGAGAGTTAAATTTTGACCAGATTAAAAAAACCCTGCAATTTTAAGAGAAAAACCACGCTGTACCCAATAAAAGGATGCAGAATAAACACGGTCTTTTATGCGAGCCATGCTGCATATCACAAAGGAAATAGCTTGAACAGCTGAAAGGTGACTTTTGTGTGTGTTGGAACAGTCTGGTCAGTCTTTTTTTTTTTTTTCAACTTAATTTTGTCTGAAAGAGAACTTTTCTTTTGTGGATTACATGCAAAGAATTTCCTTGAGGTTTTTTTTTTTTTTTTTTTTTAAGTAAGTTGAACTACTGCGTAGGATATAATTCTGTTCACAGCTTACACCTTCCAGATTCTGTTTTCAAAATTTTATGCTTACTAATATGAACAGCATATTAAATATAGGAAAGACACCTTGTATAAGTGGCCCAAAGCCAATGTAAAATTACTAAAATAGCTATATTATTATATAATGTCTCACACTAATTAATGTAGAATATACGCTCCAGCGATTCCACATATTAGGACAAGATTGCCCCCTACAGTATCTGTACTGTTCTTAAAATCTCAAGTAGAAGACTCATTTTTCATAGAATGTTATCTTAAACAAGAGTTAAGGAAATGATTTCAGAAGAACTTTCCTGGATTACGGCTGTTTTTAAAATTTTGTTCACTACAATATATAAATCAATATTTAAAGCAAAAGTATTCAAGAAACCACCAGGACTATTCTGAAGAAAGCATTCACAGCAAACATTCAGCTGACTCTACATTACCTTCAATAGCGGGACTGTACTGAGACATCACATTACTAGCCAAAGTCGGCAAGGAGACTGCCACGAAGACCATGAGAAGGCAAGCAATTTTATATTCTTCTTCCGGACTAATGTTTTCTAAAAACAAAACCAAAGTTCTTTGATTAAAGAAGTCATCTTCAAATATTTCCTTTCAACTGCACGTAGAATATAAAATGTTCGACCAAACAAATTTAAACCCATCAACAACTCAATGTCTTCATTACGAAAGGAGAAATATGTCAGTTCTGCCAAAAGACACAGAATGGCGATTCAAAATCTCCAGTTTGTTATCTACAAGAATGAAGGCAAGTCACTGCCACCCTATCACTTCTAACTATTTAGTTACTAAGACTTTAATATGCTGAGCAGAACAGTATTTCTACATGCTGGTGTAAACCCAGTTATTGCTCTGAGGTGAGGAGAGCTTCTCTTGCACTCTCCCTTTGGTAAAGGAGCATGTGATGTGCACTCACTTCAATTCACACTATTTTGAACACAGCAGCATCACCACACATTAGCATAAGAGTAATTTAAAAGAAGTCAGCAGTTGGTAAATACAGTACGTATATCTGTACAAACTGGAGTTACTACAAGCAAAATACAAGATCCTAACCAGTCATGAAAGATGCAGAAATTTCCTGTCTTGTTCACCCAGCTTATACATTTCATAGATGCACCACAATGAAAATAATCCATTTAAAAATGCCACTTCAGATACTATCTATCTTCCAAAGGTATACCTACATACATTGTACATAAAAAGTGTATAAAACAAATGAACTTTTTTTTCTGCTTGATACTTAAGTTTGAATATTAAAATGACCCTTGGAATTAGCTGTCATTTGCCCTCCCAAAATAACTACTATTAAAGCAAGAAAAAACAACATAGGTAGCATTTAAATCAGATCTAACATTAACCATTCATTACACACAGAGGAAAAAAGCCATAAAGCGCTCAGTAAGGAAGATATGGAAAAGAAGTTGAAGACTGTCAAAAAGCTCTTAAGAGTCTTAATTCATGCCTTCAAACCCACCAGAGTAAACAGAACTGAGAAGCTTAAGACAGTGGTTCTTTAAACAAGAGGAAGCACTATACATGTTAGAACATTAAGATGCTTATTTTACAATGTTTCCCCTTGTAAGCTCCATGTTAACACTTTTATAACACACTGGTAACAATGTTGTGAAATTCATGAAGTGCATTCATCTAACATTTCAGCTCCTAATGCCTGCTTAGGAGACACAGATTTGTTACAGATCTGCACCACAGAACTGATCACGTCTAATTGTTCACAATCAAGTCCTATTTTCATTGTCCTGGAATTACAGCAATTTTCACCATTAGCTATTAAACTCCTTCAATATCTACTCATTACTCTTTCCTAGGTCAACAAGTTCATTCAGATGTGGTTGAAAAGATTCTCAAGATAACACACTAGTAGGCAGCAGGCACTAATAATTCATGTTCTTATGCCATTTACAGAGTTCATTGCAGGAATATAAAGGACCCAAGATATAAAAGTCTCTACCTAGCACTTTAAACACTTCCATGTGTAGCTGCATTCATTTTCGTGTGCCCCCCCCCCTTTTTTTTTTTTAAACACATTTTCTAAGTTGTAACATCTTACCTGATTTTTGGGAAGACAGTGCTACGACCAAGGCAGGATCAATCTCACATGGCAATCCAGCAGCTGATGACAGTTCATATACATTCATTGCCACCTGAGGACCAAAAGAAAGATAATTACAAAAAAGACAACACTGATTGCTTTTTTGGGTATACATGACAAAGCACAGTTTTGCTGTCATGTTTAAAATGTTCACATCAGAGTTTGAGCACAGGAATTTCAGGGACTTGGCTAAAACAAGATAAAGAGACTCTAGGTTTTTCTTGGTTTCTAACCTACATTGAACAGCTGGTCAGTACTTTGTGTGCTTGATTATAATTACATTTTGTCAGGTCAAACAAAGCTTGTATATTTTTCTACATTATCTCCAAAGCAAACATCCTGACTTGCAGTCAGTTGTTTCTACATCTTTCCTCACTGTTCAGAAGAAAGTAACAGATTTTTCTCTACTAAATCTAAAAGTATCAGCTAACAAACATGTGCAAATATAACCTTTTAGACAAAAGCCAAGTTACCATCTAGTGAAATATGAGAGTAAAGCAGATTCTTACAACATTCAAATTTGATAGATTTAGTGTCCAGTGATTCCAAGAGCCAAGACTTAGACTCTAAGTAGCCCTAACACTTGGAGGAACTAAGACATCTTGAAATGTAGTCCATTTTCCAGACTGTCCCAGGCTGTATCTTTTATTGCCATCAACAAACCTCCAACACTGTTCTTTTCTCTTTCCCTAGTTTACATTTTGGACAAAGTATCTGAAGCTGTAGTTCAGATGAATCTCTGCAAAAGCAAGTTTATACAAAATGCAAAGGACTAGGGGAAACATTAGCAATGTGTTGTACTGCCATTAATATTTGAGAAGTTTTACACTTGGCCCATAAATTCTCACATATAGTTGCTCAGCTGCACATAGGGGATATTGTGCAGACTATCCTTATTGATGTGCTCCAGCCTGGCTACCCAAGGGCAAGTTTTGCTGTGAAAAGCATACGGTGTTTGCACAGTGCTATGCTGTCAGCAGGGCATATGATATTAGCTTGAGTACAGTCCTGTCTTAAAAGAATTACAGAGTTATCTGGATGGGAGATGGTTCACAACAAACTGGCTAATGAGCAACAGTGGAACAAATGCAAGCCTGTTTCTAAAAGCCTGTATAGACATCCTAACAATTAATATTAAAAATAACCAAATAAAAGGAGAACAAAGGGGACACCTTATAGCAGCTTCCCAGTACTTAAAGGTGGGGAAGGACTCTATTAGGGCCTGCAGGGATAGGACAAGGGGTAACGGTTTTAAACTGAAAGAGGGCAGATTTGGATTAGTTATAAGGAAGAAGTTCTTCCCTGTCAGGGTGGTGAGGCACTGGCACAGGTTGCCCAGAGCAGCTGTGGCTGCCCCCTCCCTGGCAGTGTTCCAGGCCAGGCTGGACGGGGCTGTGAGCAACCTGGGCTAGTGGAAGGTGTCCCTGCCTGTGGCAGGGGAGTTGAAACTGCATGATCTTTAAGGTCCCTTTCAACCAAAACCATTCTATGATTCTATAAATACCCATTTTGCCAGTCACCCCAAATAATAAGTTTTAGGGGTACTAAAATAAAAACAACCTTGCATAACAACTACTTATTTAATCAACAGCTTTAAAGTTATTTATGCTTCGCTTGGTAAATTCAGTACATAGGAAATTACTACGTTATTATGTCCTAAAATATGCCCAGTTGGGCAAATATCCCAATCCATTGTACAAAGCCTTTTAAAGATCTGTCTGTTGGCATGCCTTCATTTAAAAAAAAAAAAAAAAAAAAAAAAAAGGCTGCCTTATTGTCCTAAAAGAAGCCTTTGTTGCTTAAAATTGCACTGCTGTATGTGACAAGGCCAGGAGAAAGCTCAGACAATGAGCTGCTGATTATCCACAGGACTTAATCGTTAGCAGACTCACAGCACAGTTTTAGCCCTTCCAACAAGTTGTTTTCAAGACAAAGCTCTGGCAGAGTTGCAGGGTAGCACATCACAGCTCCCAGCATTCCCAGTAGGCACTACAGGCAAGACTATACAGGTTTGGCTCCTCCACGCACAGTCCGCCAACATTATCCAGGCAAGCTATGTACTCTCAAACAAGCCTACATAGCATCATTCCACACCACCAGATGTGAAATCTGTGGTTGGTATCATGCCAACACCAGCATGGTGGACTGTACCACAGCATTCACAATTATCTCAGACACTTTGAACTAGACAAAGCCACACACAAATTAGGTATATTTAAGAATCACAGTAGAACTAGAGCAGACCCAAAGAAGGCCAACAGCCAAATATTACATGAAGCAGAGGCAACTAGTTGGTACTATGTGGCATGAGCCACAGAACAGTCCTCAGCATGGTTTTATTTAGCAGTAGATTGCTTTTTTGACATCCAATTATATAAGTGACTACAAATTATTCCAGTGACTTCCAGAAGAGGTGGTCAAAATCAGACCTGTAGCTATTACATGCATAGAGATCCAACCATGTAAGCAGTATCCTTGAAACATTTATTTTACCAGTTACACTGTTCACACTACCAAGCAGCTCAGTATTCTTCCCTTTATCACTTACGTCATATTTTAACACCTGAAAAATCTTGCTCTTAATTCTTTCCATGAGAGTTCTCAAATATGACTACAGGCAGATAGAGACTGGTGCTTATCCTATCAGTTGGTTGTCTTTTTCAACTACTTAGCTCTTTGGAAAAAAGGGTGTTCTTTTTTTTCTGGATTTTTTCACACTAAGCATGAAAGTCTTGCCCCTTACATATTTTTAGTAAGCTCCAAAAAGAACTCCATCACCCCTTGGGCAGAACGTTACCTTCATGTCAGTCTCTCTCGGAATGTGATCTTTAAAGTCCTCGATGGAACTTACAAGGAAAGGAATGTGGTAGGATAAGACCTAAGAGAACAAACACATACAAAGTAAGAAAAATATACTTCCAATGTTAATGATCAATTAGACACTACCATTATTTTACCAATCTTTAATTTTTTAAAAATGAAACTTTTATTTTATTCATATAAATGTTTGTAGATTTAAGACATTAAAGCCTAACAAATGCAAAATCAAGCTGTTTGCAAACAAAGTGAAATGAAAACTTTTAAAATGTACTAAACATTGAGAGGCATGCTGAAAAACCTGTATGTTTTAACACATTACTCTGAGCAGCACTCAAAAAGTAGATTCCTCCACCCCCAACCTACAATTCAAAGTTCAGTTATGACTGAGTATTGCCATTTCACCCACACGCCAACCTTTTAAGAGTCAACATTCCTAGTGAAACTTCAAATACCCTACCGTTCCATTAAATTAAATACAATTAAAATTATTCAGAACATATTCAGTTATTTCTTACATCTCTAAGTGCTTCCTGTGCCAACGACCGAAAAGACAAGATAACACCAATAATCGTCATTCTCTTCAAAACACTGTCAACAGCTGAAGAGAAACAGAACAGCAGTGAACAAGAACCTGTTGATGCTTGCAAGCTCAACTCTTCAAAAAAAGAGAACATTTCACAAAATACAGAATAAACACATGGGACTGAAACAGTGGCATTCCTTAAAAGAGCCCAAATAAACAGTGTTTAAGCAGGTTTTTATAGCTGAGTTGACAATGGGATTTTCAGAAGACTATCCTGTTAACCACTACATGCAATGAACCCCTGTTACACACAGCTGACAATACTGGATGCTAACACTAGTTCTGTGTTTTCTTGAGGCCAAAAATGTCTCTCTATAATAATTATTTAAAAAAAAAATTACTTATGTTTATTGCACGTAAAGATCCTTCCAAAGACTGCAATAATTAACACTGCAATTGAATCAAATCAAAAACATGTGTCAAGAAAGCCTGTGATTTGTATTCTACAGCTATGCATCCAGTTTGCAGATTACTGCTGTTATAGCTATGTTATCATCCCTGAAAAGATGCTTGAAGCTCATCGCTACTATAGTTCCTGTGCACTAATTAACACCAAAATCTCATTTTGCGTGTACATGAGAAGACTGGAAAATTTTGAGAAGATGCATCAGTTCATCTGAGCCCACATGCATTTTGCTGCTTCTGTATACTTAATACAGAGAAATTAGTTTTTCTCGTTTTCTTTAAAAGGACAAAGCTAAAAACCAATTCTGTATCTTTAGTAGAACCTTGTTAGTTACCCACATGATAATCTTTTAAAGAGTGCTGCCATCTGGTCTGGCTTGTCGAAACTGGTCCTCATTTGTGTTAGAACCTCAACATTCTCCACCACAAGTTTCTAAAAAGAAGCAAAGATTCAGGTCATCTATAGATTTCAGTATGTTAACAGAATAAATGCATGGTTTAGGATATTTCAGTCTGGCAGAGAAGCAACTAAACTCATGGAATACAGATGTACCCACTGTGTTCTTAGTGAGACAACAATATCAGTATTATTAAGCACTACTCTACACAAAAACAGGCTCTGAATCAAAAAGCAGAGGATTAGATACCCCTTGGAACATGACTTTTATATTCAAGAATGAGTACAACTTCTTAAAACAAGGAAATGAAACTCAGTAAAACCAGACAATAGCTCCTTATGCTAGTCAGCTTTTAATAAGAAAATTATACATGTATCAATAAAAATGCAGATTCACAAAGTAATACATTCTTTTGGGTTGCTCCTTTCACTAGTTATACTGTAAGGATTAGAAATTTAATGTTGGTAAATTGAATGAAGGGTGTAAGAGTCAGATTATTAAATCCTCGTGCAGTTTGCTTGAAATTTTCTTCCATTGTAATATAAAATAAAAACACAGATATCACTTCAAGTCCTGAAACAGTTAAACTCAATTGCAATATTTTTCATTTCAGTTCAACCAAAAGAAAATGTGTGTCTGTTTCTAATGTGTAACAGCTCTCATACATGCAACTTGTAGCATTAAGGAAAACGTAGTAACTTTCCTGAAATCATTCTTCAAATATGTATCAGATTTAACTTTAAATTACAAAGATTGCATAATCACATCCATAAAATGTCATATCCAAAAAGGGCTTCTTGCTAGCTAAGAAATTTATGTTTGTGCCAAGCAGTATTTTTAAACTCTCTTCAAGCAAGAAACAGGTACTTTGTTCTTACAAAAAATATTTTTGCAGTTTGAGTGCTAAGTACCCTATTTCAGAAATGTAAAACAAGGTTATTTCTCTTTAAATAATGCAACCAGTGGCTAAGAAAATTTAGATATCTTATGTGCTTCTGAACATTAAATGAAGAAAGTGTTTCCTTTCTTTTAAAGGCGACTTAATTTAGGGCTTTTGATACACTAAACAATATCGAGGTAGAAAAGAACTGAAAGATGGAGGAAGAAAACAATATATTACATATTGGGGGTGGTCTTCCAAAGTTGATTATTAATAGTTTATTTTTCAAGTGGATGCATTCAATCCATCTTAATTACCAGGCAGCACAAACAAAATGAGCAGTGAGGAGGGAGTAGAAAAAAACACTATTCAAAAATGTAAGCCACTATAAGCCTAGAACATAATTTAAGATATATCATATAAATTCTAAGAAGAGACATACCTGCAGAAACATATTGCTAAGGATTCAGGAACATCTGACCTTTGATAGTTCTGCTAACTGCTTTAATAGTTTTACTTTACTTCGCTTCAACCCATGCTGAAAACAGGGCGTAACACAGCAACTGACAAGCAGGGAAATTAAATTTCAGAGTTAAGTATTCCTGTGACCACAGGAGGAAAAAAAACCAGCACAACTGAAACTATTTTGCTGCTATGAAATAAATGGCAGTCTGTATTTACTCCCACCTCCTAGACAAGTAGTCTGTGCAAAGCAGATCTGCCCAACAGCTTAGACCTCTTAGATTCAATTAGTCTGTGTCATGGTCGTGCTATTTCCATAAGCGCAAGTCTACCCATAATCCATCCAGTCTTCCCACTTTTGTTCTTATCTTCAGTGAGAAGGAAGGAAAGAAATAAACTCTACAAGAAGTAGGGAACTAACCACCTTCAAGAATGTGTGCATGTGTGCATGCGCAGGTACACAAGATGTACTTCTATGCTGAAAGCCAATGCAAGACTGGTTTGTGCTGAAATGAAGATAGGCATTTTAAACCAAACGATGTATCAGAACTTGGCAGATGTGTGACATTTTAATTTAAATCCTTCAAAGCTCTCCAGAATGCAAGATTGAAGGCAATAGCCCACGCACATTGTTACTGAGTCAAGCTTTCGGCTTTAAAAAAAATAACCAGCATATTAGTTTAAGATTTAAAAGGAATAGGCTGGAATACAGTTCAAATAGTTACTTAAATGAGGCAAACTTTCCCTCCTTGCCCCAGTCTTAAACTTCAGATATAAACCCAACACCTGGTCCCACTGCGGGAAGCAAAGCAAGCGTGTTGAACCCTACTCTTGATAAATTCCCCATTCTATCCTGTTGTTGCTTCCTTCCCACAAACACAGATGTTTCTCAGTGCTTTCCTGCTAAGCCAACTGCATCCCAGCCAAAGAGATGAACATTTTATTACTTTTTTTCCTCCAAATATGTGGTCATGTGCATGTGGATCTCCATGATCTGCTTATACCTAGTATTAGAAAAACAACAAATCTCAGTGATAATTTAAAGTCGCTTTGAAAAAAAAAAAAATACACAGAGCTACAGTATTAATTATGCTGATTTTGAGGAGGTCTGACAACTCCCCAGGAAGTGGACAAATAAACAGCAGCAACCAAGCAACATATGCCCAATAGCTTTACATTTTACTTGGAATGTGACAGATGTCCCGTTGTCTATAGCCAGGAGTTACAGAATTTAACTTTAAAATCACATTATTCTCACCAGGAAAGTTTCATCCTGAAACTCAAAAACTGGAATGGGCATAAGGAATCTGGCTGGTCAGTCAGATCAGGGTTGCTGCATGCTCTTGGGGCAGCTTGGAAAACATGAGCAGCCCCTCTCCTTAAGCTGTGACATTGAATGTATTTTTACCCTGGACTTAATAATTTTTTAAAAAACTAGGGGGTTTTATGCATATGAACTTGTAGATTTAAAGCCTAATACATTTGAAACCAAGCTGTTTGCAAAGTGAAAGGAAAACTTCAAATCTTTTAGGGCATCATACATCCTATCAACAAAGCAGCACTGAAATTCACAATGTTTACAGAGAGAACAAGAGCTCTGAAACTGCAACATAGGATACATTAAAACCACACACTTTTAAAGGCCTGGTATGCTAATAATGAAAAACTGTTGTTGGAAAAAAAATGATAAGTTCTTAGACCTCGTAAGTATTCATGTGCATTTTAAAAAACACAGCATGCATGAATAGTTACAAAGTACTCCTTATTGTAATTAGTGGTTAAATAAATTGAAAATTATGACATGTAATAACTTCTAATTACATTTGGAAATGCCACTAAAAGACCGTGTCATATGAAAAGCAAACGTGCCAATTACTGACATTTTAATAGTATGACTATCCTGGGAAAGTAATACATGTTATTTAATATATTAAAACCTCTTTCCAGAAAGTTATTTACACAGGCACCAAGTGCAACTAGCTTCCCTGACATGCCCCTATTTACAACTTTTATCACACCAACTTTATTGTTTGTGTTCCTGTAGGTATCAGGTTTATTTATCAGAATACTGACATTTATAATAAATTGATACTGTTCAGCCAGAGGGAAACTAAGAAAGACAACAGACGAAGTCTCCCATCCATGTAAACTGAACAATTGATGCTAACACACACAGTAAAGAAAGTAAGTCCTTATAGATGACTAAGATACATGTGAGATTTTCATGGTAAGTTTTGAGAGTCAACAGACTTGGGTAAGCCCTTCACAAGCACCTGGAGATCTCAAAAAGCATTTGTCTTCTCGATGATAAAAAGAGACTTGACTCCTATCTTAGGGTATCTAACAGAGATCAACAGAGCCTACATAAATCCCTGTCCATTCAGCGGTTGAAGAATGTGGGATACACACGTACCGCATGTGCAAAAGCACTACAAAATAAGAGTAATATTCACAGCTTTATCAGTTTGTTTGATGAAGTTGTTTCAAAAAGATGGCATGCGGAAGCATAGCTATTAAATATCCTAAAGGAAGCTTAAACAGAATGCTACCCGCCTTCCCACCCACCAGTTTCCCGAGGTTACCTTAAGCTCGGCAACCTGTGAAGAAATGTGCCACATCAGACTTTCACTTAGGAACTTCATGCCATATGGTCCCAGAAGTTCAGAAAGGGCTCTCATTTCTGAGGAATAAAACAAACTTCTATTTCAAACATTCCTTCTTCAGTTATTTGATGCCAGTCATGTCTAGCGTAATGGTGTTTTATTTGCAGAATATTTTATCACAAAGTAGAATTTTAGGTATAAGAACTTGTGTCATAATAGAACTGAAGCAGCAGTCACCAACATAACACATGCCTATCTCTGCAGCTTAAATGAATCAACACTACTTTGACCAAAAAATAGGAAGTGAGCTCTCTCAAGACACAGAGACAGCACAATAAAAAGTACTTACAACACTACTGAAGGTTAACAAATGCTGTCTGTAATAGAATGCTCTAAGAGTTGCTGTTTTTCCAATTACTCAAGCATACAGTAACTATTCCTCACAAACATCCAGTAGGAACATCAAAGTTTACCTGATATGTCAGAGTATTCCTCAGCGTTAAATGTCAATTCATTTTCTGTAGGCAAATTCACAAATGCCTTCATGGCTGGAAAATAGGCTATGTGACCATTGCTGACTTGCCGTAGCAAGGTTTCCAAATACCTTATCAGAAAGGAAAAAAGTTTTAGATGAAGAGACACATGTTCATAGATACTTTAAACAGATGAAACATACTTGTGTGACAAGGGACAGCAAAGCTTATAAACTAAAGTTTTACTTTCACAGTTCAACTGATAACAGTATCTTACTCTACATAGCCCCTGCCCCCGGTGAATTTCACAATAAGCAAACCTTAGAGTGATTTTAACAGGTACTGGAAGAAGTAAACTTGTGAAGTTAGAAACTTAAGAAAATTTCAAAACAACTCCACTTCTCTAATTTCAGATTTTTAATTAAATGAAAATATTGCAAAAAGTTTGCAACAAGCATTCAGATAATTACTTACCAATTTGTGTACAGGCTGGTAATGGTTGGCTCACCGTGACTATCTAAATGTTGGGTTTGCTGAAGCAGAACATTGTTAAATACTCGTGTAATGTCAATCTGTACATAATTTTCTATTGACTGGAGCACTGTCATATAGGCTCTTACACTGGTTAACAGCTCTGAAGGCTTTGCAATCTCTTGTGTTGCTTGATTATACATAGTCATTCCAACAATTGACCTTTTAGAAACAAAAATAAATGGAAACAAATAAATTGCATTTATTAGTCAAATTAAATAGACACAAAGATGCAGCTATAAAAATGATTTTATATTCAAAGATTTTATCTGTCTACTTCTCCAATCTGAAAGTACAGAACTCTAATCAATGCTCATACTACAAACAGCACTTTAAAAAATATTTCTAGATGCCAAAGACAACTGTATTCACAGTTCCAGCAAAAATTTAATGAGACTAAAAATAGTCACCAAGCATTTTTTAAAATAAAGATTCCCCAACCCAAATATAAGAGCAATCCACAATGTAGATAACTTACAACTACTTTGATAAACTTTAAAATCTTAAAACACAAAACTTCAGGAAAATGCAAGAGCAATGATGTATTAAAGTGTTCAAAGCTTATTCAAAAAGGCAAAAATTCTTTGACCAAAAGTTGCTGACATAGTTTTAGTTTGAAATATCTATTAAGAAATCATATAGCTATAATTCTGAATTGAAAATATTCAAAGCAAAACTTCTATCTTGTGTTGTTTAACTTGTCAAGTTATTTTAAAAAAAAAAATCTGCTGAAAACATAAGCTCTGAAGCTCTGCTTTCAGCAGCTAATATCTCTCAGAAATTACCATGTAAGCAGATAAAAGGAAATATTTTTATATCATTTGGTAGGTAAGTTTCAGACGTATTTGTATACACAATTTTTAAAATTTAGATATATGCTAAGTAAATAAATAGGAATCTTACCAATGAAAAACAAATCTCCATTTAGCCGACAGTGATTTCTATCTTTAATCAAAAAGTCAACAAACTGCAAGACTTTGATTTGTTCAGATTATCACTACAAATAAAACCAGGTTTCAAATAATAGATGTCCTATGCATCAGGCTAGCTTTCAAGCTAGATCATAACCACACAAAGAACTGCATACTCCCTTTTAACATAAACAGACACAGACTTTACTCAGATCTCACTTAAACCAGGCCCTCGAGCAAACTGTGTCAGTGGGTCCTTAAAGCCAACTAAGTTTTCTTAGTAAATAAAACTTGTAGTATTCAGATTTTCAGAGCTAAGCTTTTGAGTCATATGTATGTTTCAAAGGCAGAACAGCAACAAAATGAAACAAAAAAGAAACAGGTGTATTACTACCTTCATCAGAGGTGAATGGGATAAATTATTCTGGAGAAAAACATGAGCTTAAGTAACATTTTTGTTGTTGCTTGGAAATGTGTAAATAAGTATTTTCACAAGTTTACTTCTGAGGCAGTCTCTCTTTTGCTTTAAAATTAACTCAAAATTGCTATTATTACAAGATTAAGTGGCATAGTATTAGTCCAGTCGTACATGAAACCAAGCAGGTTAAAACAGTACACAAAAAACTCCTAACAAGGGTAAACTGCAAGCCTCTGGAAAAAATGCCACTTAAGTATCTGAAAAATAATTATAAATTCAACATTTATGGTGTTTGTCTAACAAGTCTCATTTTTTTCATGAGACAAGAAAAAGAAAAGCAGTCTCTGAAAGTCATCTGCCTGTGGCTTCAGCCCCAATCCACAAGCCAACCCACCCAAAATTAAAAAAATAATCACAAGTGACCAACATGGTCTAAGTTCATAAATCTGAAGATAACAGCTGATTCCTTATGAAGTCATTAAGTTATCTTCACTTTGATGCCATCCTTACTTGAAAGATGGAGTGCTTTAGTGACCTAATATTATCTCTTGGTAATTAAAACTTATTAGAAGTCTTTATACTTTGCTTGAACTATATAACTAGCAATCCTTGGCATAAAATACAACTAGGATAGCTGGCTGTTTTAATATGAAGTCCTCTCCAGAAGTTTCCATTTGCCTGTTTCTGTAAATAATGATGGGAAGATCAAGGTAAGAACAGACAGGAATATCAAGTGGCAATGCTTTTTATTTTAAGAACAAAAAGGTATTTGAAGTATCTTCTCAGTTGCCTTTGTCAGGTTTTGAGTTCTGATTTTTAGATTTCCTTTCAGCAAGCCAGTAAACTCAAACACTTGAAACTTGCAGCACTACGCAAAAGAATAGTGGGAAGACAGTCTTTATAAATGCCTAAAAATAGGTGTCACCAACTCCCACAAAAATACAGAGAACTAGGAACACAGAATCAGGCTGTTAAATAGGTGATATGCGTTTCAGTATGTTTTGTTTTAAAATAGGAACTAACAATTGTGTATGTCTGCATATATAACATTTGTCATTTTAGTCAGAATTTGACTGATGAGTTTCGTGATCCACCTCTAAAACCTAGTTTTACGTAGCAAATATACAATACTTCCAACATCAAATCAGTAAAGACTTATCTTATATATGAATGCTTCTAATTTTACAGTATTTCTTACTTGGTAAAGCGGATTTCCAGGTGAGATGTTAAATATTCTCTTGGGGTAAATGTGTGTTCCCAGACCACCATGTTTGGTACGTAATTGATTGAGAAACAGAGCTCAGAAAGTGCAGTGTGCAGTTTGTCCAGGCTTTAAGAACAGGCAACAAGAAATTTAAAAAAAAAAAACATATTTAGCATTAACAAGTATTATCATGGAAAGCACACACTGGATGGAAGAGTGCCTCAAGAGCAGGTACTGCTCTAACGCTTCCTTTCATTATCCTTTTCAGCTCTGAGACACTTTTCTAGCTTATTTTAAAAACAGTATTTTGGGTAAGAACACATCCTACAACTGCATACTGATCTGCATCACACACAGTGATGCAAAATAGAGATATATTTTTATGTATCTGCATATTTTTCCCCTAGAAAAGAACAGTCTGTTCAGGTGTTTTTTCCTAACTGAACTAAGTAAGACAAGTAATGTTTGCTACTAGCCAGTACTAAAAACCTAAAAAATTGAGAGAGTGAATCTTAACCTACAAGTATATTCTTTTCCCTCAACTTCTCTAATCTTTGCAGGTCTCTGATGTTTCGTGGTTGCAAGCATAGCAAAACCACTTCCCTTTCAGCAGTGTGTTTTTAGGCACTCCCAGCCACAACATTAACACGTATTGTTTCCTTTTCTTCTTTCCTCCTTATACTTTTATCACTCTACCATCTTATCCTCTGATCTCTCTGAACAATTACCTTCTACCTTTTCCTTCCCTATCATCTCTTACACCCCCAACTGTATTTGTTAATCTTACCTCTTATCTCTTTCAGGTGGGTTTTTTGGTTTTGTTATTGATTTGCCAATGTTTTCAATTTTTCTGTACCTGCTAACAAGGCAACCTTCCCCAGCTGGTACAGGCACTAGAGCCTCAACTCCATCCCAGCAGTTGAAGGCAGCAAACAGCCTTTTGGCAGCAAGAACTTTCAGCCCAACCTGTACTTTACCTAGTTAATAAAGCAAGGCAGAATCAAAGATGCCATCAACTCCATGAACTCTGACTTCCACAACCATTAATATGACTATATAGGAAACCTAGCTACAGCACACGGATCCTTTCTGCTCGGGGAAGGAAACAGGTGAGGGGATAAATTCAAGGAGATCCTGTTGCTCTGCATAACCGAATTCAGTCTCTGTACAGAAGCATCAATATGCTCATAAACTACAAAGTTATTGTATTTACAGTCAATTAAACTTCCTCAAATAAATTAAGCAAGAAGCATTCAATATGTACATCACATGTCTTGACTTGGGATTCAAGGTGAAAGGAACAGAAGAGGTGGCTTACTTTGTCACAACCAATCTGTTTTTCCTCATGCTTTCTACTCCTGGTTTCTCCCTTTCAGGTTCTCCTTTCTTTCCAGTCTGTTTTTTTGACTTTTTGTTCACTGCTTGACTGATAGTTTTGGCACAATGCTTTGGCAGCAACTAGTAAACAAAAAGAAATAGCCCCTCTAAGTTAAAAACCAACTTGGTAGCAGCCATGATACAAAATAAGCTTATGGTCCAGGTGGAGACTTCATCACACAAGTAACACATTCCGCCTTTGACTACTAACTACAAAATTCTAATATTAAAAGTCTTCCTCAAACCACCTGCAACTTTCCAGAAGAGAGAAAAGAGTGAACATGAAATAGAACCATAAAAATTCATGAAGTTGAACACAGAAAAATCTCAAAGGAGAATTAAAATAGACACAACCACACTCACCTGATCACTCAGTGTGCATTGTTCTGTGCAAATGTCTGTGATAAGATTTCGAGCTTGCTTTGCCATTTCATCCAAGAACATGTTACACAAGGAAAGACTACGATCTCCAATATGATGTCGCTGTTAAAGAAGAAAAAAAGTGTGATTTTCAGTCTCCCGTTAGTCCTACAATATTCACACAAGACACACTGTACTGCAGATAATAGTTCACTAGATTATATAACTAGAGTATGAGAAAGAATAAATTAATTAACCCTCAAATAATCTCAGCTCCTGCATTTTTATTTTTTTTTTTTTGAAGCAACTTCAATCATGAAATCTTGAAAGTCATTGACATGGCACACTATCATTAATACTATTTTGCAAAACATTTTCTGTAAAAGGGGGCAAAACAGATTCTAAGAAGTAGGTTTTCATGTTTAATTTTGGACCGAATCTACTTTAATGTGTCCAATATTCAAAGTTTCTCTCAGTTTCCTCTTCATTAATTTGTACCAGTACTAAATCTAGGAGAAAAGAGGAGCATGCAACTCAAGCTATATGGAAAGCACAGTGTCCTTCACACCACTGAAAACATCAATAATGAAGCCCTTCTGCATTAATTTCTGAATTCAGTTCCTTTGTCACTGGATTTGCATAAGCATAGCCTCTGTCTCACTGAAATCCTTTCACCAATGTTTACTTACTAACAGCCACACTACCACACATTGTACACAGCACAATGACGATTATTTTTCCAAAATGATAATAGTTACCATGTCACACAATTCAGATATTGAATTCAAAGTTCTGCTGGCTGTGGCAAAATGTGCTTGCTGCAGCTGAATTCACAGTAACTAGTATACAGTGGACTTTGGCTACTGATTCCTTACTGTTACTATAATGGTTCTGAAAGACATCTCTTGTCCTGAAGGGAAGCTTTCTGGAAACTTTTTAGTATGTTGTCTAGTATAAATAGAGTCTGCAGCTGTTTAAGGCTAAGTATACGGGGAAAATAATGAGACATATATTGAGATGAAGTTTAGCAGAAGAGGATTTAATGTTTAAATAAGAAAAACCCACATTGTGCACAGTACAATAGATTTTATTCATCCAATTGTTTCAGATGAACACTGTTAAGAATGAAAACAAACTTTCATGAGCACTACACAAAACTGGCCAAATTAACCTCCAGAGTAATTCCAAAGTGAATGGACATACAGGGAATGTATTAAAGTGTCTATTTCATTACGACAAAAATAATTTCCTCAGAATCAAACTACTGCTCTTAACAAAGGGTCCACTTCTTTAAGCAACACACTGCATTTTTTCATTTCTAATTCTAAGCAAAAAGGGCTTGCATTACCAAGTTCTTACCAAAACGAATGCTTGCATTATGTTGTATATCACTTAGGATTATTTTTTTTAAATCATATTGAGGAACACTATTTATAACAAGCCATACAGAACTCCCAACTCCCTATTTCCTTTTTCTCACTATGAGCTTATAAACCATGTGAAAGAAAAAACTGTTACTTTATGTTTTATTAGGCATATGGGATTTATTAGCATCTAAACCTGGACGATCCCAGAAGAGTAATCTAACCTTTGTACCTTATTTGAATCTCTAAAGCAAAGATAACAATGCTTACTCACTTCAGAAAAAGATTTTGAGATCTATGGGTGAAGAATCACATAAGTAGGTTATCTATCTGTTTTACGTCCCTTTCTACCACTCTCCTCCCTTGAATCTTATACTGCCATAATGAACACCTCCTTGCACTGTTCAGCTCTAACCCTCTCTACTTTAAACAAGAGATGAACATAACCAAGACAATATATTTTAAAATTACCTCTTCTGGGCACAGTTCATGGGTACAGCTCATAAAATGAGTACAAAGCAGTGGGAATGCAATTGAGTATCTTGATTGAGAGGGAAGCTCCAAACACTGCTGAAACATCTTCTCAAAAGCACGACTATAAAAACTGATATGAAAGAGACATTTAAATGGAATATATACATAGTTTTGTCACAAATGAAGTTTACTTCACACAAATCAAACATGCTATTAACGTCAGACTTTTAGTTATAACTTACACCAAAAACTACACCATGCTTTCAAAGAAGTTTGTGTTCTGCATTCACTTCTCCAGCATTTTATTTGCAACTATTACCATACTTTTTTATTCTGACGTTTGCCACATAGGCATCACAAAAACTTGCACCTTTTAAAAAAATTTATTAAGGAAGAATCTGCAAATGACCACAGATCAATTATGTGACTGCTTGAAGAAACTATCTGACAGATCTTCAGAAATACCTTTATCAAACTATTTCCAATGGAAATCAGAAATTCTAACTGATTCCCCCCCAACCTATCTTCTTACAAACTTTACTATTTAAAAATTACACTTAAAAGGACAAACCAAACAAAAAGCTTCTACAGTCAGGTTAGTAACATACCAAAATATAGAAAGATCTGATGTTTCAACCAACATCTCCACCAAAGAATCTACCATTTTTGTGTGGAAAATGATTGTGTTCATCATTTTTCCTAGCTCTCTATGGTCTGCAAGACTAAGCGAAGCTTTAGAAACACTGGTGTAGGCCTGGAAAGACACAAGAAAAAATGTATGTTATATTCACAGCTGCTTTTTTGCAAATTCCATTGCTATTGCCCAGTACAAATGTTACAATACTTATTATGCTACACACAGGACACCTGTGTACTTAAAGACCGTGGATAGACTACTTGATCTTTCCACTAGAGCTTAAGAAAAGCAAACTGTCTTTCAATCAAGTCTTCAAAAGTCATTTGAATACACCACCAATTCACGCATTAACTGTAGAAAAAAAAGCATTGACAAAACAAATGTGCATTTGTGAGTCTCCACTTCAACAATCAAGTTTTGCAAAGCAATAAAAAGAATGTGTATTTTGAAAATACAAAAATAATGTGCCTGACTAATCTCGAGACAATTGATTTACAGTCTAAACAGTACTCCCCCCTTGATTAAGTGAAATGAAGATACCTCTACCGCAGTGCACAGGAGTGATCTCACCAAGCACTATTTTCTCACCGCACAGTCTCTACCTTGCCTTGGCTGGGTGGCTGAATCACACTCCATGCAGTGCACAGCTGCCAAACTGCTCATCCTCAACACATTCTATTTCTGAACTGTTATAAACACCCCAAAGAATGATTTGGAAAAAGTATGCAATGCAAAGTTACATCAAAACGTAGCAAATTATCTGCTTACGTATTTGTTTAAGAGTAGGTTATTCTTAGATAGCCTGTCATCCACTTGCAGCGTGAGAATAATCTAGAAGAGCAGTAATTTATCAAACATTTTGGTTTTAAGTTAGTAAAGTGTCACACATATTTACAAAGTCTTACCTGCAATCTAAACCAATCTAATCTCATTCCTCTGAAGTCAAATACCTCTCCATCCTCAACTGTATCAGGGAAAAATACAGAACATAAAACCTTTAGGAAAACAACTACAAATTCAGATATACTATATAACAGACCTTCTACAAAAACCCAAAGTAATGAAGAATTACTTGGGTACTGAACCTCATGGTTTCTACATAAGAATTTCAATCCAGCACAGCTACGCTAATGGGAATTAAAATAACTAAACCAAGTCATGTGTAACATGCTTTCTAAATTAAAAGGTAGGAATACTTCCCAATAGCATCCTTCAAAAGCTCTATCTGTATAGAACTGCCCTGGAAAAAGGACACACAACAAGAAGCAGATACCATAATGAAAGAGAAACAAGGCTACAAAGTTCAGTTTATGCAAGTTATCTGTTTCTACTGCTGGCATGAAACAAAAAGCAATAAAGCTTTCCAGAGGAATCTGCCATTCTGTTACTGTCTTCCCAAGTCCAGTTAAACTTACCTTGTTTCACACTTAGTGAAGTCATTGTGTTTACAAAAGAAGACATGATGATTGATTCATCCTCTGGGCATACAGAAAGATTCTAAAATAAACATTGTGGCTATTATTATTTCGAATTTGGTTTATGAAACAATGTCAATACCCATGCCCAATTTATCAGCTATACTCTGAAATGTACAAAAATTTACACAAGGTAACTTAATCAACAGAGTATTTCAAATAAAGTTATTTAACAGCTTTCCCTTTTTAATTCACTGGTTCATGACAAATACCTGGAAAAGCTTGCTTCCAAACCAAGGTCTGCTCAAAGCAGAAACATCTGTCAGTAAACATGCCCATGCATTTCCAGGCTGCAGACATTTACGAAATGGACACCAAATATTTTCCTGCTATATACCAGACACCAAGCATTTTTCTGACCTCTAGAAGCAACTGATCTGTCTGCAAATAAAATGTGACCATGGTGGGAAATAACAGAGACCATATCAGCATCTCTTTGCTTCCCACAAACCCTCTCTCAACAGTTTTTAACTAGCATTGACTTCATTGATTGATATCACCTGAAAGATGGGCTATCAAGTTTTCAAATTTTTAAAAATGCAACAGTTCATGAAAAAGCAGTTTCAATAACTGATAAGATAGTATTTCGATTAAATTATACAATACAGAAGTTTCTCATAATTCCAGTTATGACTGACACTTTAATGTGAAGACCGAAAAAAATCCAAATTATAACTCAATCATTTGTCTGGTCTTGTAATTAATAACAGATGTCAAGCACAACTAAAATGCAAGCCAATTTTTTTTCCTCATTTCAGTTTGATCCTAAGAATTATCCTATCTAAATACAGAGCACTTGTGCCACTTGTACAACATTTAGAAGTAATTTCCTAAATCTAGGAAATACTTTTCCAGGAATTGATGACAAATATAAAAAATATTTAATTCTGTAACTCTAAAAAAAGCTGTTAACAAATAAGTATATAGAGTTATAAGCAAAAAAGTCCCAAATACAGCTATTTTGGTATTGAAAGTAAACCCAAGGATTCAGCCACATTTAGTAATTGAAACAGTGATACAAACTGGTATTCAAACTGCTTAAATAGTTCTTTTAAATAAACAGTAGAATATGTAAGTTCCACCTTCTGGTAACTGATGTAATTCTTGAAGTGTGAAATTAATTTTGGAACACAAGAAAACTTAAGAGTACAAACTTGTCAAGTTTGAGTAGCTGACCTAGTCACAAAATTTGGGCTCCATCTAGTGGTCGCTAGGGAATAAACCCACAACAGTTCAGCAAGGTTCTAATTTCTGTCAGGCTAAGTAAGGAAGTTTCCACAACGCTCCTACAGTGGCAGTACCTGTTTAATTTCCTCTAAACATAACATTGCTTAGTAACATTTAAGTATTAATATAGCAACCAAAAATACAACTCTAGATCTCAGAATTAAACAGTAAGTTAATTTGTCTTATCTGTAATGTTCATCAAAATCTACAAACCAGGAAGCCATTTAGGACAAAACCCCATTTTTAAAGTTTGCATTTGAGGAATCCAAAACTAGAGTCTTGCCATACCTGAACAAGCTCATTTAAAACCACTGCATCAAAGCCAGAGAGATACTGTACATAGTATCTCTGCATCACTGGTCCGTATTTTCGCACATGTGCTCTGAGCTCCTCCATGTAGAATATTAGCTCGGCTATGTGTCTAGGCAAGACAAGGAAAAGCTTACAAATACGAAACTCTCAAAATATTAAAACCAACTTCTATCAGTGGAATGCTTCTCAAGGGAATTTTCTCCCACACCTTGCTTTTAAAACTACTATTAATAGGTAATTTCTGTATGAAAATATTTGTTTACATTGTAAGATGAGTTCACATAGGTAATTTTCTCTGCAAGGTAAAAATCTACTCGACAGAAGGTAAGTTAGCAGGATACCATCACAGTAATCATCAAAGGTCTGTACAACTATTCATTTATTTTTTTGAATAAGAAGCCCTTCTATAATGTTCAAGTTGAAAAAATGCTTTTCTCAAAAACTCGTTAAACCTGAAAAATATTATTGAGGTAACTGCTTTTCTTTATCTTTTTTAAACCATGAGGACTATTAAGTACTTCAACAGGTTGTTTCAGAGAGGCTGTGGGACCTCCACCCCTCCCTAGAACCTAAATCCAGTGAAGAAAAACCAGTATTACCCTACACCATCTCTAGAAATGACCTTGTGATTATCACTTGTTCAAACTCCTCTAGTCAATACACAGACTTTCAGTTCAATCTTGTATTCAACAATCTCGAGAATGACTCCAAGACAACTGGTGGCCTTCTGCCTACCCACACTCATAGGATCCCATAATCTCATTTCCACCTTCTTTCTACAACACAAGTGCTGTATTACATAAATAAATCTTACCTGATTTAAAAGATATTCTTGCTACAATACATGAGACATTCAACAAATCAAGCTTCCTGGCACCACTGATTTGCTCAATAGAAAACCAGTACCACTGAGACACATGATAAAGCTTTATTTTTGCTTATTCAAAGGGAAAGGCTTAAAAGTTGTATAAAATATTTTTATTTTATAAACAAATTTTCTGCAGAAAATAAATTTTCACTGATGTGCTTCAGTTTCTAATACTTCTAATTTTTTGTTTTGATGGGAAGCTTAATATTCCCAAGTAAATATTTTCGTAACAGTCTCAACTCTTCCCTACTTCTGAGATTCTCTTGCCATCAAATGCATTTTGTTTGTGAAACTCTCATAAATATTTAATGTATCACACTAAAAATTAACATACTTATCTATGAAATCATCTGCACTCTTCTTTGGCATATTATCTGCATGTCGAAGAAGCCAAATAATTTCATCACGAGCAAAGGATAATGCCATAAATACAAAAAGTGCCTGAAAAAGAAAAATTATTAACAAGCTTATAGATACATACAACAGTTGGACAGCCTGTGCACACTAAGAGGCAACTAGTCTCTAAAACCAAAGAATCTTAAAACTTAAGTAGGTTTTCTCTCAAAGTATTGTGTTTCCCCCGCCCCCCCCCAATAAGCTAAATGTGATACTATCTGAGACACACACTGTAAGATTGCATAAATGCAAACCATAATTACCTTTGGACCCAAAAGGCCTGGCTGATCAGACAGGACAGTAGCCAGTTCTTTGAGTGCAGAACGTAAAAACTTGCGTCTCTCTCTATGCATTGAACCGCTGCATCAAAAGAAACCAAGACATCATCTGCTGTGCTAACCACAGAACATATGGTTTTTCCAAACATTTAAGCCCAAGCATAGGCAGTTGATATCATACTAACTTCAAAAGTTCAGTATTTCAAAGGATGCAGTTCAACTAAAATTGGCGCCCCCAACACCATATATTCCTGAAGTATGGTTAAATTTAGACCTGAAGTTCTCTGCCCCTGTTCTGTGATGAGCATTAGACTCAAGTAAATATTTCTATTTTACTGGCATTCACATTAAGTAATTAGACAAAGAAACTGGAGAATAAACTCAATGCTTCCATCCTGATAATCTGAAAAATAATCTAAAACTTGGGGAGTTAGATCGATATTGACATTAAGCAAAACCAGATTTAAAAAACTGACCAGTACATGAACTCATTTGAAAATGCACAACTAATTCAGCATTCAACAGATCCTGTTCAAGCATTCTTTGTAATTTTGTCAAGAACACCAACATTAAAATCTGCCAGGAAAACTCTGTAAAACACTTACGCGTGTGAAACAGCAGCTTCTTTGCACTCTCTGATGTCATTAATACGCTTGTTGTAGCTGCAAGCAAAAAACAATCCAATATGGTAATAAGCATCAGTAGCACAATCTAGGAAGAGCTGAGTGGGACTTGAAAGGAGCTGCAATGCCATAGCAAGAAGGATACAGCAAAAACCTCACACAAGATATACTTCCATGATTAGTGCTAAATGCCAAAACTGGATACCCAAACCAAAAATACTCTCTACTGAAGTGCTCTTGGTGTTAACTGGTAGAGGTCTCAACTTTGTTTCTGAGTTTTCATAAGATATATTGCAGAAATGGTGGCAGACAGATAAAATTTATCATGCAAGCTCTACATTCATGACATCATTTCACTAGATAAACATTTGTGGGCGAAATCATTAATTTTCACTTTTGCCATTTTAGATACTGATTCACCTGACTTTTTCAGAACAAAAATAAAAAAAGTATGATGGTTATGAAATCAGGCTCCTTAAAGTTATGCGTTACAGAAACAGTGAAGATATTAATCAAAAACTTTGTGTACTGACTATCCCTTTAGCAGAACTCACATGAAGTAGAAGTAACATTTTTACAACAGTTCTTCAAGAAATTATACATTTTTAACAGAGGTTCTGAAAAATAGAGAACTAAAACTTACCCTCGTATGTTCACAAATAAGTCTTCTGCAGCTTTGTGAATATGGAATACTTCATCTCGAAACAGGGCCAAGCAAGAGCTGCTTTGAAGTGCAAGTTTCCAAAGGTTCAAAGCTGTAGCATCACTATTTAGGATTCCATGGCACAAAATAAATCCAACTTCATAAATTCACATTGATGTATGTCACAAACCAGATGCACAAAGACAGTAAGAGAACAGTGAGATTACAATTTTCTCTTAAATAGTTCAAACAGTTTATTAATAAACTGTTTAATGGATAACAATTTATATACAAAAAATACTCCATACTGTCCTAGTGGAGGTATTTTTGTAACACTTATCTTAATGTTGATATACTTGGCTATTTTCATTAGAATTACTACAGCCCTCAACTTCTAGTCAGTCTGGAATAAACTGATAACAAACTCCATTCCAGCAACATATGCTGATTCTAACTTCACTGCATGTAAAAGCAGGATACATACAAATGAGATTTAATCAAGTTCTCTAGAATCTAATTTGAATACAACAGCTTTTGCACAGTACAGAAAAGCAAGTAGTCTTTTAAATGTCAACTCATTTTTTTTAATACAACCATGAGCTGTTTCAGAATATTTTACTCACAAATGATCCATTTTTCCATTGCATCCAGAGAGAGGTATTCACATGGCATCTGTTGAAAAAACAGTAATCTGTGGCAAACTGATTATATAAAAGACAATACACTTAATGAGAAGTACTTTTCAGAAAAAAGGGACAAATAAAGCCTTGAATGCTGATGAATCATGGAAGACTGCTGCTGATTACTAACAGGGCAATGTTTCATCCTTTCAGAAACAGGGTTTGAACATTAAATGAGCTTCCATACCATCCAATAACTTGAACAAAACAGTGAAATAATTTTGACAGATTTCAACAAACGTATTTAAGAATACTCAAAAAAAAAAAAAAAAAAAAGGTTTTTCATGTATACTAATCACAACCTGACAACTCGAATTTTTTCAGGAAGATGACCATTCATATCACAACTCAGGCAGCAAATACAAAGAGTAAAAATTTTAAAGAAGTATCAGTTCTGGTTTTCAGTCTGTTGACCCACATACATCTGAGACAGTAAAGAGAATTCCTTCCTTCCACACTGCAGAAGTTAACATTGCTTCCCTTCACCTTTTGATTATCAAATACTGAAAACGAAGGCATGCACTAATGCAAGAGAAGCTTTAATTAATGCGAGAAAACTTTTCCCCCATACTAAAGCATTCACATTTCCCAACCAGTCTACTTACTTCTCCAATTAAAAGCCACAAAAAGGTAATCAAACAGAAAAAACAAACCCCCCACATTATTTTATGGAAAAACCTTGCTAACTTTATCATATAATGCAAATTAAAAGGCCATACTGTGTCAGACTGTGCAGGATTAAGCATTGTACTGGGGGCACTGATGAGGCTCAGTAGTTGTGCATTTCTCCACTGGTCAGCTGAGAGATTTCTTCGAGGATAGACCATCTGGAGTGAAATCAGAGCATCTGAAAGGGACTAAAAAAGGAGTCCAATTACTAGTTTGAAGATGTCCTCAAGGCTCAGTCTTGGGTAAATAGTCAAGTTCTTTACTTCATTTTGTGAGCTGTGTACTGACACTGCCATACTTCAAGCACAAGACAATTAAGTACTATTTTGTCAGTTATGCTGTTTTTTCAGCATTACTACTAACAGTAATCAAAACATTTTACTGAACTAGTTCTGAGATTAAAACTCTCTGCATCTTGTTTGTATCACATATAAAAGACTATTCCAGGCTAAGGGAAGGATGAAGAGAAGCAGGAGAACTTGATTTTATTTATTTTTTTTTAGCATTATAAAATTCTGAGTTTAAAATTAGAGGACATGAAAAAAAAAATCAACAGGGGACAACAAATCTGTCATGTACAACTAAAAGTTGTTAGTTAATTATTCAAGCAACCCAATTATTGTGTTATTCCCTTCTCTGTCATTTCATTTATTATGTCTTTCCCTCTTTGCTAGCAAATTGTAATTATTATGAATAGATACTGTCTACAGGAGCATCTTGATAGCAGATTAAGCTTATCTAAGTAAGTGTGCTCCTAAGACTTTTCCCTGTCTTTTACATCAATACTGATGCTTGTATGAGTCCTCAGGGAGCCAGGTCTAAGTATTATAGCAGCAGAGAAGGTCACTCGGGGGGCGGGGAGTTATCTGTTGAAGGTAATTTAAAGGACTAAACAACTGTCAGGTTTACTGCAAAGCAGTGACATGATGAAAGGACAACTTAAGTGTGCAGTTCCATGAGAGTGCAGCCTAAGTATGTGTTTCTATAGCATGGTGCCTGAAGGGACCCCTGACCCCAATTTATACCTCCAGCACAGAATAAGCAGAATAGTTAAAATTGGACTGAAAAATACAAGAGCATAAACAAAGATAATACTGAAAAGTGAAGCATCTTTGCAAAAATGTGCACAAGAAAAAATTGACTGCAAATTAGATCCTTAGCCAAATAGAAAGGAATTGTGTAGAGGAAAGTATAAAAAAAATAAGATTACAGATTAGTTTGACAAATGATAAATATTCAAAACTATTTCACTTCGGAGTACTTAGAGAAGTAGCTGGAAAGCTCTCTGAATTTCTAGAGACTATCTTATGTAGTTCCTTTGACAAAGCAGCAAGCCTAGTGGACAAATGTGAAGTGATAAACAGGATATACATTGACTTTGGCGAGGCTTCTGTCACTTTTCCAATGTATTCTCATATGAAAATACAGCCTACATAAATCATCACAGGACTGCAGTATGACCAGCTGTGTAAGAGTGCAAACTTAAAATCATTTGTACAGAAAAGGCTAAAGGAATTGGGTTCATTTAACTTTGTGAAGCCAACTGAACAGGGTGGACAGTGTCAGCTTTTGACTATACAATATATTATTAACGAGGCAGTAATGACCTTCAGTATCCTCAGTTTAAGGACAATCCAAAGCAAAAACCCTCAGGTTACAAAATAGAAAACCACATTCATCTAGGATGGTAAACCAGCAAAAACCTGGTTTCACAGAAACATTACAAGAAACATTACATTTTAATAATCTTCTAACCCTTAGTGAATAAAACGGAACCTTACCAATGGATCTTAGCATTCCTGTACTTCTGTATGTTCTGTTATTTACCAGAATATCAAGCCCCACCCCCAGACATAAAGTAAAATCTCCTGTAAAATTTATACCTAATGGCCTTTGACAAAAGAAACTCTTGCATATTTACTTTTTGATCTTTGCTTCTCTCAAATAAGGTTACTGTGTGCCTGTGAAAAGTAGTTACATACTTTACTGTGAGGTACAAATTCCTCCATCATTTTCTTTAAAGGATTTTCATAATCCACAATCATCTGGCCAAGGCGTGGATATTCTCTGTCACTAAAAGCAATAACAAATAATTCACTCAGATGTAGCTGTTACTATTATTATTATACACATTTCTTGTACAACAGATTTTTACCTTGCTCCATGTGTCATTTCATGGGCATAATTATACAATCCAATGATAGCCTTCCTTTCTTCAATTCGAGACAGCAATATCATTAGAGTTGTGTAGGTTATAATCAAGTCTAGGTAGTTCTTTGTTAAATCAAAGTTTACAGTCTAAAGATAAAAAAAGTAAATTATCATTCTAAAACTCTTAGAAACAAGCATAAAACTTTTTTCCTTACCTTTCCACCATTTTTCAGCATTTTAAAAAATACAATGGATTGTCTTGAACAAGGATTTTTTTCTGGTTGCATACAGACTTTGTAAAATCTTAACTTACTCAAATCCCCAGAACTGTCTGAAATCATGAAAGCAAGCATGCAAATATATCTTTCCAGGCTTAAGTGTCATAGGTTAGCTGACAAGATAGGAAAACTTTTCTTGGATGTTACTATGAATTACATTTTAATAAGACTCTGTAATGTAAAAAGCTAGCACATAACCAGTGGCCTGGTAATATCATTCTATAAGACATATACCTGCTTCTCTTTCATACTATGAACTTGTCGGGCAAATTTAGAATGATGAGGAAAACTAGCAATGTGACATTATGAACATTAAGAAAGCAAGCTGAAATCAAGATGAAAAGGTGTCTGAAGTTTTGTTTTTGGCTTTTTCAGTGTTTAGTTGTGGTGGTTTTGGGTTTAGTTGTGCGGACTTTTTTTAATCTAACACCTTTAGCTACTTTAGTATTTGTTTTAGCCAAGACCAGAAGTGACATCCTCATATAGCTTAGGTGCACACCTGTAACATTCCTGTCTTGAGAGTCTCACATGGTTTAAACATACAGATGACAGTAAACCCTAAAAACTTGCACATGCAATAAAGCAAAAATTACATAAAGATCTGTATGTCTGGTAACAGATAGTGCTGTTACTACTGTAAATCAGTAGCCTGTTTAAAATGGTCTATCTCCTTGATTACAATCTATTATAATAAATTAGAGATCTGAGGATTACAGTGTCTTTATTCTTCTTGCATTTATAACTAGAGATACAATGTCTCTTGGGCTAACATAAACAAGTCCTTCTAATTCTCCACACAGGACTCTGATTAGAATAATTTTTAAGTGGCATTTGAAAGCTTAAATCAAGAAACTTACAATATCAAAGAAGACTTGGCAAACATCAATAGTGTTCAGCAGCTCACAAACATGGTCCTTGAAAAACAAAGGATTAACTTTAGTTTAAAAAGATGGAAGTAAATCACTTTACTATGCCTAGTGATTGAGATTTTTTTTTTAACAAGAGCTACATGTTCAGCTATTTCATTATATAGTGTTATTTCATAAACAGACAGAAACCTAATGTGACAGAACTAAGAAATTTGTAATTCCTTACCTTAAATTCCATAACATCAACAAACGTGAAGTAGTATAATGCCAGGTTCTTCAGAATCTCTGATTTTTCTTTCTGGAGCTGAGCAAGCTGTTGCTATAAGAGAAACATAAACATGCACACTGTTCTTAGAAGATATAGAGAAGACTGCTGAAAAATAATACCTGTGAAGTGCAGAGTAACCACCAGGCTATGCAAAGAAGCCTTGACATGATTTTCTAAGACTGAGGTTCTGTGTGTCTCAAATATACACAGTTCTCAGAAGAGACCGTTTTAACAGCTGCCAACTATACTTTGAAGATAAAAGTCATATTAGTACACATTAGTACCAAAGTCATATTGTTTAGCTCAGCTAAAGATGAAAATGGGAAGTTAGGAAAACAGTGTTATCATATGTATAATTAGCAAAAGCAGAACAGTACAGTAGCACATATCAGTAAGACAAAAAAAAAAAAAAAAAAAAAAAAAAAAAGACGTTACTTGAGGTGGAAGAAAATAAGGTGGCAGGTTACAAACTTTACTACAGAAAAACATTATGCTTGTAAATTCTGAACTTACCAAAAAGAATATCCAGGCAAAGCCACGTTAAGCATGCAAAATAAAATGTAGATACAAACATAAAATACAGTAACGGTTCTTTGACCAGTTCCATATAAACACAATAATACATTCAAACAAAAGCAACAAAATAAAGAAACAAAAAAGAAGCAAAACACTAGCATTAGACACTGGTGGATAAAATGGAAGAGGCAAATGTGAATACAAAGGCATAAAATAGTTCACATGGATTTTTTTTAACAGACAACGAAATATAATTTCATTTTCATATTTTTCAAAGTTTTCTGGAGGAACCAGACCAATAACTTAATTACAATTAAGAACACAAAAAAAGCAGCTGTTACTGAACAGCCGTTCTGTTTATCTGTGTATTAGTCTCACAGCACTGCAAGAATCTAATTATTTAATTTGCAATATCCAGCTATGAATTAAGTCTCCTTCCTGATGTATGAATTGAATTAAAACAGTCATAACACTCGGTATGAAAAAGTGCCCTCCAAAAAGCTGCAAGGTTTTAAATTAAAGACTAATCAAGTTAAACAGGATTTTCTTCTCAGCAAGAGCTATCTATTATAAAAAAGATTAAACAAATTGTTTCAAGTTGGTTACGTTTATTTTCATGAGAGGTTAGAACTTAATACACTTCATCTCCCTCTCTTTATAAAGCTGTGCTCTGTGTTCTCAGTTTTATGTGAAGCACTAAAATGCCTCTAAATTAAAAAAAATAAGACTGCCTGGACCACTACTGCGTATCGTATGTAAGATAATTTTTGCTTCTTTCACCTGAATTTTAAGCAGCAATTCTGATTTTTAGAAGTCTTGAGCCACAGGACTTCCATTATAGACAAGGAAGACAGGCATACATAGAGATATGAGCAAACTGGAATGGCTCTATTATAAAATACTCCTACCTACTCTTAAATCAGTGCAAAGGATTTAAACTTTGAAGGCCTGGGTTTGAATGACTGCCCTATATAATATTTAAGTTCCTTTCACATAGTTGTCAGCTGGGACTTAAATGAAAAATGGGTGCAAGTACGTGTGTTTATATTTTATAACTTCTGACAATCTCATGCACTAGGAAATAGGTTACTTCCATTTAAAACTGGTACTGTATAAAAATCTGCCTTAAAATGTAAATTCTATTAATTGTATTTTGATCCTCGTATGAGTTTGCTACTACCTTGCCCAGCACACTACTTAAACTGCCTTGTGCTAGGAGGACAAAGCATCCAGCACCATCACATGCAGAGCTTGGAGCTCCTGCAGGTCTGCACAGCTCCAGAACACCTGGGGACATCCCCAGAGGAAGGAGCACTTTGTATTTTCAGGGCTGCTTTGACAGTCAACTGTTATTACACAATGAACGTTCATCACCGAAGATGCTTTGTTTTAATCTTCACCCTTACTCTGTTTTTTAAACTATTTCTTACCAGCTTTTTTAAAACACCAAGCAGAAATAGGGCTTGTTTCTGTGCAACTAACACAAGCATGAATTGGATGAATTTGAAGACCTGTTTCACAATTTTTCAAGAACAGACTACATTCTATTGTTCAGAAATAAGAATAATTCTAATGCAGAAAGACTACTAAACCAAAACTTCCACTACAGCTGCACATATGCCTTAACAACTTTTCCCTACTGCAATCCTAACTCGCACCAAACAAGGTACAATACTAAGGGAGACTATCAAGATTATAGGTTGTTGTACACAACACGTGTTTGTAACACATAGCAACTGAGCATCCACTTCTGGGGAACATGACAATTTCAAAGCCACAATGCATCTGTGTGACAACACACAAAGGGGAGAGATATGGCAAAAAGGGAGAGGGTGCTGGGAAGTGTGCTTGTAAAAGAAATAATCTTTTTTCAGAAATTCTATGAAGCCGTACGTTGAATAAGAGAGTAGAGGAAGGTATTCATTACACTCAACCAAGAACTAAGGAATCACTGCTGTGCACTGTTAACTAGTTACCTGTATTCGCAGAAGTATTTATACTTAAATGATGCCAAAACTGTCATACAGAGCTACGGTGATCACTTTTTGAGCTCTGAGTGTTGAAGGTGTCAGCAAACTTATATTTAAAATATTAATATTAAAGTAAAACAAATTCTCAACTGTAATCACTGTTAAATCAGATTGGTGCAAACAGTTCAATTCGTACAGCACAGCCTGAGCAGTGATGTCTGAAGTACAGCTTACAGCATGTAGGGTCTTGGATGTTTATTTGCATTTTTATCACTCAGGAATGTGGGTGTAGCTCTTTCCACACCCACTGCAACAAAACTTTCCATTACCAATTTCCTAACAGCTGTTTAGGAATAACTGGTGCTGTATCATTTTGTATTTGGTTTGAGGTTTTTTTCCTTAGTCTGCAATTCCATTTATCAGCAAACATTTCTGTTTCCAATATTCAACAAAAGATTTAAAATAGGATAAGCTGAAGAAATAACTCTTAAAACATTACTAGCATAAAAAGATTCTTTTCACTACAGCTAACCATGCCTTGTTGATTGGATAAACATAAGCATTTTATTTATTCTTTAAAAATTTGAAGTACAAATTATACTAACAAGGACAACAGTGTTTTTGTTGAACAAGATGAATTGGATTTAAGATGTATGAAAAGATGTAGAAATTTTAACATAATATAGCAAGATCATAAAACTGAAATATCTGAAATAATTTATTTTGTCTATTAACAAAATACTGTATCATCAATCATAACTGAATTATTACTTCTAAATTGGGGTTTTAAATAGCAGAAAGTGAAGCTGACACTTTGACAAGTATGTTACCTACAAGAGAAGGAACTGATCTTCACCAAGTTGCCTTGTGCCTTTCTGTCTTCATATTAACCCCCAAAAATCTTTATACAACTGATTATGTAGACAAAGAAAGTACATGAAAAGTGCATTAAAAGAAGCGAAAAAAATCAGAAAGCACAAGACATTCTCACTTAAAGCTTGAATGAGCACAACAGCTGAGAGACAAGAGAGTGATGACACAGATAGCGACACATTAACAATGTGAATAAATACAAATTTAATATGAAGGCACAAGAAAAATACAAGACAACTAGAAAAGGTTGTTCAGAGTTTTATGTGTGGAAAACCAGAGGATAACTGTAGTTCTGTAACTATTTTACCATATTCATTTCACTGGTAGCAGTATGTGAATAAATATCTTATTTCATCATCCAGGAATAGACAGTAGGTAGGGGAACTTTCTCCTGATATGAGTGTGGTATTTTCCCTGCAAGTATGATCATTAAACACTTGTATTTGTTTTCTACAAACCAGCACCACAGACATTACAATATCCTCAACGAAAACACCATCAACTTCATCTTTCTAGCTGGAATACAGGCCCCAAAAAACTTGTATTACCCAATTCTGACTGTTCAAATTCAGGAGATAAGGGTAAATAATCACTGTCAGTACTCTTACTATTTTATTATGCTCACTATTCTTGCCACGTGTAGAGTCTTTAGATGAAGGTTTTTAAAATTCAACTCATTTGGACAAATTTCTGCATCTACAAATTTCATAGCAGAATGGTGGGGACAGCAAGAGAAGGATCTAATCAAATTAATAAAATAAGTTTTAAATTCTGTAAACTAACTGTAGAATGATGGATGCATCCTTGGTTTTCTTATTTCCAGTTAAAAGAAGCCTCTGAAATGACACGCTGAATATAAGAAGATGTAATGGAATATTTAATATATTTACTAACTAATGTATTTCTGTTGCAAGATCTATTTTTGGTTTGTTATAACGTTTCTAGCACTAACTCTTTTGAAAAGAAAACAGCCACCCATGATCCTCCATGACTGTTACTGTCCCTGGGGCTGACCACATTATGAATAATGGCGGAGCAGTGAAGCTTCTCTTTAAAAACTGATCTACCTGGCAGTCATAAGGAACAGTTTTCCCATTCTCTCACCTTCTTTTACATAAATTCATACAGTAATTCCTCCACTGGGTTCATTACATATTATCGTATCATACAAGCTTTGGGCCACAGGTCTTGACATCCCTGAGACAACCACTTACAGAATAAAAGTCTTGTCTGTGCTACTGTATACATAAAAATATTTTGGACATGCGTAACTAACTTCCTGCATATTTACATTTATGTCATGAAATTATGAAAGAACTATTCATTTAAAGAGCATGAAAACTAACTTTGGAATGCCATCTCAGTAACACTACCTAACTAAAGTATGGCTTAGGTATGACTTTTTTTTGTTTCTTTGTTTTTTAATGGCCAAGCTCTTAAGTTATCAATCATCAAATTAAAAGAGAGTTTTAATGGCTGAAGCAAACAGGTTTAAGTATTACACACATGCACTCCTCTGCAGGTACTGCATACACTATTAAGCAACAAGAGTGAGCACATGACTGGTTTACCTTGGCAAGTGACTCATATGGACTGATAAGACAGCAGCATACTGCAATGATTTATTACAAATAATGATAAAAATTAAATGGCATTTGAATGCTACTCCATCTCAAATTCATGCAC